GTATTGATAATATATTTGATATTTTTTTACTTGCTTGTTTATGTATATATATTTTAAATCAATGAATAAACTGAAAAGAAAATAAGCAAAATATGTCAGATGTTAATTGCATACAAAACACACACACACACACACACACAAATACATATTTCTGTCAACAAAATTTCGTACCTTTTTTAAGTAAAAATACAAACATAAAAACAAAAATATCTGTTTGTTTTGCTTACTCGACAAGTTTAAAATTAATTGTAGAGTTGTAAATTTTTAATTTAATAAAATATTTGTATGTTTTCCCATTTTTAAAAAATTTGCTACTACATATATAATTTAGAAAATCAATAAAACCAAGAAAGAATATCAATCATTGTCGAAATTACTGATGAAAATTGAAGATTTTAAATGAATAATCTCATCATCAAATACGTTATCATTATATATATACAGTTTAAAGCAGAATTTAACAGAATTAATTTCTTTTTAACATAACAAACTTTCATTGAATCGAAGCTATTAGTTTATGACATCATCTTGGATGTAGCTCAGTTCGTAATCCATATTCCATCGAGCGCCGTTATTATCTCTATCTTTACAGTTTTATTATCCTTCATAATTCTCGTTTGACTCGTCTCTTATTATTCTTTATCCAAGCTTAATTGTTTTCATAAATTATATTTTCCCTAAGTAATAGTAATTTATTTTCCATCTGCTTTTGAGATGCCATTTTTCAAACAGTCGTGACAGCTACTATATTACTTACAGTAACTTACATGATTTAACTTTCCTTCGTTTCTGTTCGAAGATTTTTCTTATCTTTAATCATTATCGATAGCTATTCTGTTAAGGAATTGTTCTGTAAAGATGCAACTAAATCTTTTCTTTTAAAGTGTCATCTAGTCTTACATTTTACATACTGTATGTTGTCTATCTTTATAAATGATGAAAAATTATGATTTATGTAAAGTCAGATCAATTCGCGGTTATATATGACTAAAATATTGAAATTATACATTTAAATTATTTATCTGTAAAGTATTCTGTATGATTTAATGATTTAAATATACTTAGTCATTTATAAAACCGGCACCAGACTTATGGGCACTTCGTGACACTTTATTGGATCTTACTGTACAACATGGAATGCATTTCGGGATTTTAACCCCCCTAAACCAACCATACATGCCAAAACTTGAGAGGTAGTATATATGGTAAGTTGAGGGAGGTTAAAAACCCCCAAATTCATCCCATTTCGCATAGTGTCAAGAAGTGCCTATACGCCTGGTCCTTATTTTATACATGACCAAGCATATTTTAAATTTTAAATTGTTTATTTATTAAGTTATAAATTCTTTTATATCAATTTGAATTGATGTATTCGTATAGAGAAACGGAAAGAATTATTTTAAAAACATAGTTAATAGTTTATGTATGTTTTGTATTAGTACAGATAAAGAATTCTGATAGGTGTAAATACTTCATTTTGTTATATTAATTATAAAATGAACAATTTTAAAAAATATTTAAAAGGTACTTTATACAAGTGTAAAATAATTTTTTAACTCCTCTTTATAAGAAGTAATTAATAAAGTATACAAAATTTGCAGTACAATTTTAATACATTTTTTTATATTTACAAAGTTTTATTAACCCCACTCAAACTTTTATCGACCCCTAAGAGGTCAATACCGAGCAAGCCCTGGTTTATACTACGTACAATGAATTAAATTAGATAAACAATATAAAAAAAGAGACCAAAGTATTAGACCTACGTCAGCAGTTTATGGGGAAGGGAGTTCCTTTTTATCTGATGATTGCTGACGATAGGGGAGGGAGAGTGAGTCTTTGATGACGTAAGATATTACCCGTCGTTTATTTTTCTTTCCAGTCATCACAAAATTGTCTGAAAATGATTCCTGTGTATTTGCGAATGGTTTAAACTTCTGGCCTGATGACATAATTATGGGATGGAGCACCTTCATTTCTAATGACTGGCGATGATGAGGGGAGGAGATTAAAAAAGAGAACATTTATATTGAAGATATTTGAACGTCTCACAAGCTTATAATATAATTTAAAAATATTTAAAATCAACGATGATAAAGTTACAGTATATATATATATTTTTTAATAAAATATTATTTTACTTATGTTTTATTTTATCAACAATATTGCATCAAATATTGTTCACTTTAGAAACTTTCAGGATTATTTAATATGTTGAAATTTATATCGACGTTTCAAGTAATTTACTTTATAGACTTTCGGTTGCTACAAACAAAATACTTTATGGTAAGAAAAAAAAACCAATTCTAATACTTTATCATAAACGTAACTTATTTAAAGCACTTCTACTTTTTCTTGTTTAATTTATATTCCCTTTAAAACATTTCAACGAAATATTTAATATATTTTATTACTATCACACATGACATATTTAAATTGCTTCTGATTTAAAATACTTTAAATTATAATCAGGGCCGTCGAGAGGGGGAAAGCTGGGATTTTTCTGCGAGCCCGGGAAAAACCTAAGGACCAATTTTAGGAATTAATAAAGAAACATTCTCTGTGTAAATTAGGTGTTCAAAAAACAGGCAAAAAAAGGGCCCTCTACAGAGAAAAAGAGTCTGCTCTACCCCGAGCCCCATACCAAGTTTTCGACGGCCCTGACCAATAATAAATTTCATAAATATGGCTTTTATATTACGTAGAACAGGACATCAAATTGTACTAAAAACAATTAAATTTAAAACGATTTTTATATAATTGTGTTTCATCGTAAATTATTTCGTGTCACTTTTTATCATTTACATAATGGAATCAAATAATTTACATTATAATAATTAGTGTTATATTAATTATAAAATGAACAATTTTAAAAAATATTTAAAAGGTACTTTATACAAGTGTAAAATAATTTTTTAACTCCTCTTTATAAGAAGTAATTAATAAAGTATACAAAATTTGCAGTACAATTTTAATACATTTTTTTATATTTACAAAGTTTTATTAACCCCACTCAAACTTTTATCGACCCCTAAGAGGTCAATACCGAGCAAGCCCTGGTTTATACTACGTACAATGAATTAAATTAGATAAACAATATAAAAAAAGAGACCAAAGTATTAGACCTACGTCAGCAGTTTATGGGGAAGGGAGTTCCTTTTTATCTGATGATTGCTGACGATAGGGGAGGGAGAGTGAGTCTTTGATGACGTAAGATATTACCCGTCGTTTATTTTTCTTTCCAGTCATCACAAAATTGTCTGAAAATGATTCCTGTGTATTTGCGAATGGTTTAAACTTCTGGCCTGATGACATAATTATGGGATGGAGCACCTTCATTTCTAATGACTGGCGATGATGAGGGGAGGAGATTAAAAAAGAGAACATTTATATTGAAGATATTTGAACGTCTCACAAGCTTATAATATAATTTAAAAATATTTAAAATCAACGATGATAAAGTTACAGTATATATATATATTTTTTAATAAAATATTATTTTACTTATGTTTTATTTTATCAACAATATTGCATCAAATATTGTTCACTTTAGAAACTTTCAGGATTATTTAATATGTTGAAATTTATATCGACGTTTCAAGTAATTTACTTTATAGACTTTCGGTTGCTACAAACAAAATACTTTATGGTAAGAAAAAAAAACCAATTCTAATACTTTATCATAAACGTAACTTATTTAAAGCACTTCTACTTTTTCTTGTTTAATTTATATTCCCTTTAAAACATTTCAACGAAATATTTAATATATTTTATTACTATCACACATGACATATTTAAATTGCTTCTGATTTAAAATACTTTAAATTATAATCAGGGCCGTCGAGAGGGGGAAAGCTGGGATTTTTCTGCGAGCCCGGGAAAAACCTAAGGACCAATTTTAGGAATTAATAAAGAAACATTCTCTGTGTACCTTAGGTGTTCAAAAAACAGGCAAAAAAAGGGCCCTCTACAGAGAAAAAGAGTCTGCTCTACCCCGAGCCCCATACCAAGTTTTCGACGGCCCTGACCAATAATAAATTTCATAAATATGGCTTTTATATTACGTAGAACAGGACATCAAATTGTACTAAAAACAATTAAATTTAAAACGATTTTTATATAATTGTGTTTCATCGTAAATTATTTCGTGTCACTTTTTATCATTTACATAATGGAATCAAATAATTTACATTATAATAATTAGTGTTATATTAATTATCCTAGTTGTAACTTGGTCACTAAAATTTGCTGTAACAGTAAAATGTTTTGGGACTTCATACAANCAGCTATATGGTGCTCATTAAATCATGTTTCTCATTCGAGTTTCCATTTATTGATAGAAACTTATAATACCGACGAAAAATATTTAAAATAAAAATTATACAATATTTCTTTGATAAAACAATTCATTAATCGAAGAATTACTAATTAGAGTAGCTTTTTTTCTAATTTCTTTTTTTACTTTTTGCAAACATATTTAATTAAGTAAAACATCAATAAAATATACAAGTAAAATCCAAACAAACCTTAAGAAAGGATTAAAACCTGGACTGTTAAGCAAGTCCAGACTGTTCCATTAATATAACTTAATCGCAATCGCATTTCCTATAGCAATTCTTATTCATGAATGATGTTATAAATAACATTTAAGTACCTCTATCGCCATTAAAAGGAAATTTGAAATGAAAGAAAATAGCTTTCTTCTTACACTCATAATTTAAATTTAGAACTTCATATTTTATGGATATACTTAAGAACTTTACATATATCCTATCTGGTGCGTGTAGACGATGAGATTGTTAAAAAGTTGATTCATTAGCAATTTTTTTTTTATACTAAAGTAATAGCAACTACTAGATGAAATCGTACTCATTTCAATGATATGTTGTTACCGGTACAGGAAGATTATTATTGAGAATTTATGAATATCGTTGAGACTTTCTGATAGTCATCGATAAGAGTTTTATAACATATCTATTAATTTTTATATTTATTTTAAGGTGGAATCGAGCTTCCTCTAGCTAGAAGACATTACACGTATCCCAACGGTACTTTATTGGTGCAAGAAGTACAGAAAGATTACGATCAGGGATCTTATACATGCGTCGTTCGTAGTCAAGGAATATCTCAAAAGAGATCGGTAGCAGTAATTATTACAAGTAAGATATTAGAGTATTTTTAATAATATATATTTTATTAATTTTAATTTTAATTTTTTGTTTAAATTTTATTTAATAAATAAAAAGAGCCACCGAAAATAATCCCTTTCGAAACTCCGCGTGTACGTGAAGGTACATTAGTGGTTCTGACGTGTGCCATTAATCAAGGCGATCCACCTTTTGATTTGCAATGGTTCAAGAATGGGCAATCGGTAATTGCAGAAATTGGATTGACTGTTCAAAGACACGATATGTTTTCTATTTTGGTATTTTCCGAAGTTAAACGTCATCACGCTGGCAATTACACATGTTTAGCTAAGAATGCAGGAGGTTCTGCATCACACAGCGCTCTCTTGATCGTAGACGGTATGAAGATTATTTTTTTAAAGTTTTAATCATAATTTTTTTTTTAATATTTTCAAAGTAATAGCGTTTTCAATCATATTTGCAATTTAATTTTTAAATTTTGCTTGTTAGTAGCAACAAACTTTTAAATTAATATTCTTTGCAGTTCCTCCTCACTGGCTGATAGAACCTGAAAATGCATCAGTTATCTTAGGCCAATCAATAACATTGGATTGTAAAGCCGAAGGACTTCCTCCTCCGACTATCGTCTGGAAAAAAAGTCAAGGTGAGATAAAGTTACAAGAATTGATTATTAATGTGAATGTAGAAACTATTATCCTTCAAATAATAAAAAGGATAAATCATTCTTTTCGAGATGTTTAACATTCTTTAAATGCAAATTTTTAGCCGCTTAAAAATAATTAAAATGCTAAATCTGACAAATTATCATCGAAGGAATTCTTGAGTTAATTAATCAATAGTAAAAGAAAAAAAAATTCCCTGAAAAATTCTAAAAATTTCGACATTAAGATTTATTGTAAACGAATAAGTTTAATTTTTGTATGATTAAAATTTTTAATCATAAAATAATCTAATAAAAATAAATTTAATAGTATTATAAATAATTATTTATTGTCGCTTCTATAGGAATCATGGCAAGGGAATTCGAACCAGTATATAATAGTTACAATTACATTCTCTATGGAAACGGATCACTAGGAATTAGAGAAGTGGAATCCGCAAACAGTGGTTACTATCTATGTCAAGCCAATAACAACGTTGGTGCAGCTATCAGCAAACTAGTAACAATAACTGTTCACAGTAAGTACAGTACTTTCAGTTATTACTCTTAAAAGCATCTTTATTTTTTCACATAGAAATCGTTTTCCAAATAACATATGACACCTAAACTTTACTAAGTTTAATTTTAGTAACTGCCATTGTTATCGCAGTGTATGGGAAGTAGCAGATAAGTTTCTGCCAACAAGATGACATACAACCTGACAAAAATTGATTGATAAAGCTCGAGTCTCTGGACTGTACTGGACTTATCCCAAGCTATTGTATCATCTTTGTATAAACAAAGACCCCCTCCGTGTTTGGTCTTCTAATTGGTGATTTATTAAAGATTTTATGTTCTTAAACGCCATTTTTTTTATTTGTTTAGTTCTACCTCAATTTAAACGGAGTACTCGACGAACATTTTTTTTTTCTTTTTTTTACACTCGCACAATGACTTCGACCATCTTATCCTAATTGTTTGAATATCTTTGTGTAAATAAAAATTCTCTAGCAATTTTAGCTTAATTGAAAATTTTTATATTCTTAAATTTGCTCTTCTTTATCTTTGTCTCAAGTAAAACGGCAAATACTTCTGTTATCTTTCGATTATTTGTTTTTATATATGAGACTGTTTTCATTTGATAATTTCATTGCAGCAGTTGAGCTTTCATATAGTAATTTTATATTCCTGAATTCAGTTTCTTTCCCTAATTTTTTTCTTATAGTGCTGATAATAAATAAATTCGGTTAATTCATGTTTTAAGCATAGAAAAACTCAAAAAATTCTCTTTTCTATTTTTTAACTCATACACTTACTCTAGTTCTTATAAATTAGCATTAACTACATTAAAGAATAGCAAAAGTTTTTCTGTAAATATACAGAGAAATTTCCCTAATTTGGCCTCTTATTAATGATTTTTATATATCAAACTTAGTCTTTTATCAGTTTAGTTCAATTTAAAACAGACTGGAAACGTTTATCTTCTGCGAAGCTTTTATGTTTGGCCAGTTTTTATTTTAGTATAAACAAACTCTCCTTAAAGTTTGGTCTCCTAATTGATGATTTTATATTGTTTAAACTTGTTCTTTTATTTACTTAGCTCCTCCCCAGTTTGAAACAGAGCACACAGTAGAAACATTTCGCCTTCACTCTTCACTAGAACTTTTATGTTCAGCCAGCGGAGAATTACCTTTAGAAGTGACTTGGAGCAAAGATGGAGTGACCATATCCAATCGAACAGACGACACGTAAGTGGAAAGTTTTTTTATAATTCAAGAAAGAATACTTAAAAATTCAAGAAAATTGTTTCTTTTTTGTATTTAAAAATGCATTATGCAAATTGATGTATATCTATTTCTAACAATTTATGTAAGATTCAAAGGTTGTTAATCTTATTCTAAAACATCTTAGATAATTTGCATCAAAGTTTTACATTTCTCATGCATGAAAATTCTGCTCCTTCGACTGATTTGTTCTACTCACGAAACTGTTTGATGGATTTCACACTGAAAGATTAAAAAAATATTAAAAAAATGAATGTTTAATTTCTAAAAATTCTTGCAGAAAATGAATCTCTCTTAGGTATTTTCTAATTATTTTACCGAGAGAGCAATTACCATGATTTTATATTTAAAACTTACATTTAAATCTTAAAAGTAAAAGTATAAAATTTACATTTTTTTAAAAACATTTAATTATGATTTATTTTTAATTCCAAAATTTCCCTTTTCCTCTTTCATTGGATGTTTTTAAAAGAAAAATAAATAATTAAATTGTTATTTTTCTCTTAAATTTAAGAAAACATTTACATTACATTAAAGCATTATTATTTTTTTATTATCTTACCTTATTTTTTATGTACATATTTAAATATATTTAAGCAGATAATAAGAGATAAATTTTCATATTTTAAAATTAAAATTTTTATTTAATTCTTTATTAGAGATTATCTTAACTTATTATTATATATATATATTTTTATTTTTTATTCAGTATTTTGTCATGAATTTTGAACGAATGTAAACATTGGAAATTAATGACCATACAAGATTTATAACATAAAGAATTTATGATAAATATAAATAATAAAAATGAAATTTTCAATATACAAAATTCTTTTTTTATTTTATTTTAATGAAAAATACTAAATTTAATGTTGTTTTCTCCGTAAATAAATGTTTTAATGCGAGTTTTGGACTGATCTATTTAATCATAAAATAAATAATTTAAACTCAGATAAATTCATTTTCTAGATGAAGTTTACGAATCAAAAACAATTTGTATTAAATACATTGGGAATACAGAATTTGTATTGATAATATATTTGATATTTTTTTACTTGCTTGTTTATGTATATATATTTTAAATCAATGAATAAACTGAAAAGAAAATAAGCAAAATATGTCAGATGTTAATTGCATACAAAACACACACACACACACACACACAAATACATATTTCTGTCAACAAAATTTCGTACCTTTTTTAAGTAAAAATACAAACATAAAAACAAAAATATCTGTTTGTTTTGCTTACTCGACAAGTTTAAAATTAATTGTAGAGTTGTAAATTTTTAATTTAATAAAATATTTGTATGTTTTCCCATTTTTAAAAAATTTGCTACTACATATATAATTTAGAAAATCAATAAAACCAAGAAAGAATATCAATCATTGTCGAAATTACTGATGAAAATTGAAGATTTTAAATGAATAATCTCATCATCAAATACGTTATCATTATATATATACAGTTTAAAGCAGAATTTAACAGAATTAATTTCTTTTTAACATAACAAACTTTCATTGAATCGAAGCTATTAGTTTATGACATCATCTTGGATGTAGCTCAGTTCGTAATCCATATTCCATCGAGCGCCGTTATTATCTCTATCTTTACAGTTTTATTATCCTTCATAATTCTCGTTTGACTCGTCTCTTATTATTCTTTATCCAAGCTTAATTGTTTTCATAAATTATATTTTCCCTAAGTAATAGTAATTTATTTTCCATCTGCTTTTGAGATGCCATTTTTCAAACAGTCGTGACAGCTACTATATTACTTACAGTAACTTACATGATTTAACTTTCCTTCGTTTCTGTTCGAAGATTTTTCTTATCTTTAATCATTATCGATAGCTATTCTGTTAAGGAATTGTTCTGTAAAGATGCAACTAAATCTTTTCTTTTAAAGTGTCATCTAGTCTTACATTTTACATACTGTATGTTGTCTATCTTTATAAATGATGAAAAATTATGATTTATGTAAAGTCAGATCAATTCGCGGTTATATATGACTAAAATATTGAAATTATACATTTAAATTATTTATCTGTAAAGTATTCTGTATGATTTAATGATTTAAATATACTTAGTCATTTATAAAACCGGCACCAGACTTATGGGCACTTCGTGACACTTTATTGGATCTTACTGTACAACATGGAATGCATTTCGGGATTTTAACCCCCCTAAACCAACCATACATGCCAAAACTTGAGAGGTAGTATATATGGTAAGTTGAGGGAGGTTAAAAACCCCCAAATTCATCCCATTTCGCATAGTGTCAAGAAGTGCCTATACGCCTGGTCCTTATTTTATACATGACCAAGCATATTTTAAATTTTAAATTGTTTATTTATTAAGTTATAAATTCTTTTATATCAATTTGAATTGATGTATTCGTATAGAGAAACGGAAAGAATTATTTTAAAAACATAGTTAATAGTTTATGTATGTTTTGTATTAGTACAGATAAAGAATTCTGATAGGTGTAAATACTTCATTTTGTTATATTAATTATAAAATGAACAATTTTAAAAAATATTTAAAAGGTACTTTATACAAGTGTAAAATAATTTTTTAACTCCTCTTTATAAGAAGTAATTAATAAAGTATACAAAATTTGCAGTACAATTTTAATACATTTTTTTATATTTACAAAGTTTTATTAACCCCACTCAAACTTTTATCGACCCCTAAGAGGTCAATACCGAGCAAGCCCTGGTTTATACTACGTACAATGAATTAAATTAGATAAACAATATAAAAAAAGAGACCAAAGTATTAGACCTACGTCAGCAGTTTATGGGGAAGGGAGTTCCTTTTTATCTGATGATTGCTGACGATAGGGGAGGGAGAGTGAGTCTTTGATGACGTAAGATATTACCCGTCGTTTATTTTTCTTTCCAGTCATCACAAAATTGTCTGAAAATGATTCCTGTGTATTTGCGAATGGTTTAAACTTCTGGCCTGATGACATAATTATGGGATGGAGCACCTTCATTTCTAATGACTGGCGATGATGAGGGGAGGAGATTAAAAAAGAGAACATTTATATTGAAGATATTTGAACGTCTCACAAGCTTATAATATAATTTAAAAATATTTAAAATCAACGATGATAAAGTTACAGTATATATATATATTTTTTAATAAAATATTATTTTACTTATGTTTTATTTTATCAACAATATTGCATCAAATATTGTTCACTTTAGAAACTTTCAGGATTATTTAATATGTTGAAATTTATATCGACGTTTCAAGTAATTTACTTTATAGACTTTCGGTTGCTACAAACAAAATACTTTATGGTAAGAAAAAAAAACCAATTCTAATACTTTATCATAAACGTAACTTATTTAAAGCACTTCTACTTTTTCTTGTTTAATTTATATTCCCTTTAAAACATTTCAACGAAATATTTAATATATTTTATTACTATCACACATGACATATTTAAATTGCTTCTGATTTAAAATACTTTAAATTATAATCAGGGCCGTCGAGAGGGGGAAAGCTGGGATTTTTCTGCGAGCCCGGGAAAAACCTAAGGACCAATTTTAGGAATTAATAAAGAAACATTCTCTGTGTAAATTAGGTGTTCAAAAAACAGGCAAAAAAAGGGCCCTCTACAGAGAAAAAGAGTCTGCTCTACCCCGAGCCCCATACCAAGTTTTCGACGGCCCTGACCAATAATAAATTTCATAAATATGGCTTTTATATTACGTAGAACAGGACATCAAATTGTACTAAAAACAATTAAATTTATTTTATTTAGAAAATGTAAATGGTATCGATCCTTGTGTAATAAGCAATAAACTGATATGAAGTTTTTTTTGTAAATTCGATGTTTTTAAATTATATTTTTCGTTTTGTTTTAGGCGAAAAGTATCGTTTGAAAAGTTAAGAATAATTCTGTTTGAAGTTAATTGTTTAATTACAATTTTTAACGTTTCCCTTTGTTTACTTGTAATTTCTCACTATTATTTATTGATGTTTCTTTAAAATTTTGAAAATATTTCGAATTTTCCTTTGATCGCCCACCAGCGACCGAGTGGATAAAACTACTGAACACTGGTGGCTGTGAATTCGCGCTTGACTAATATGCTGGCCATATGAAGTTTTCCGGGTTTTCTTCGCGTATCTAACAGCTAAATAGGAGCCAGTTTCCATAGAAAATCCTCCGAAAAGGCTCCTCTTTGGCATATCGCCCACGTGTTGCGTTACCTTATCCTATCAATCCTACAAATCTTTGGTTTATTGGGAAAATTCTTAAATATTTTCAATAAAATATTTATTAGGGAATCAGATAAAAGGTATATATATATATTTACCTTGGTATGTAATAATTTGAAATTAATATCGATTTTAATGTGCCTTAGAATAATTTTAGTTGAAAACTTGCATTAATAGAGGCATATACATTCGAATTGTTATAAAAATGCATAATGTAGATTCTTCGATTATCAAATCAGAAGATCGATATTTCATTGCCTTAACTTTTAGTTTTAACCTTTAACCTTTGTCAATAATATAACATAAAAAATAATGTGATTTTTTTATAGAAACTCCTTCCATGAAATATCATATTTCATTTGAGAAAATGACGTTTGTAGTAAACTACTTACAAAAGTATATTATCTCAGCTTATTTATGCACTGTATCCAGGTTATAAATCTTATCTAGAAAATAAAACTTACAATAGAAACTGCTGTATTGTTTAAGGAATATCAAAAAGCAATTATTTTCTAAAATTATTATAACTTTACGTAAATAGTCTTTAGTTGGCATTCTATATGTGAATTCTATTGCAAATTATAATGAAATCCTATTAAATATATTATAATGATGTAATATATAATTCAAAGTAATGATGTAGGCCTATGATCTTTTGATAATTTGTTAATTAATAATTTCTTAAAACATAAATATACTACATTAAGCTAATTACTGCAAATCAGCTT